AGAAGGAACAGACCTTTTATCACAGTTTTACTGCAGTACTTTTTCCTGCTGCTGCTGCTGCTGTTTATATCAACTGTAAACACCAGCTGTGGTGCTGGCTTCTCACAGCTTCACCTCTGCCCTTCAGACTGTACTGCCCCTGAGCAGATAACTTGGAGAGCCCCAAAATTTTCCCATTTGAGCAGGACAGCTATTATCATCCATTGCCCTCATCCACAGCTGTCATCAGCAGTTCTTCAGAGCTCCTCTGCTGAAGTCACTTGCCCTTGTTTTCTTTGGTAATTGTGCTAGTATTGTGGTCCTTATATCAGCAGCTTGGGCTCTGGTCATTGAAAGGGAAAATAAGTCAAGACAGCAAAACAAGTGGGTTTAGTTGTGGTCTCTGGATTTTTTTCCTGAATGTTGACAAATCTGCTTTCCTCTCCTTTCCTTTAGATTAGTCATCTCTGCTTGAATGCTTCTTCTGCTTGTAGTAACTCATTTATACAGCCAGACAAAGATCACATCTCATGAAGAAGAAAAATAGTACAGACAATTCATCCCAAACTTCCTTAGGATTTTTACGAAGTCAGTCTTTTCTGATTATGGCTGATTTTACAGTTGATCAAAACAGCAAATCATTTTGGCACAGATAGAGTTTGGTTACATGTATGCCTGTAAATCCCACGTTTCAGCATGTTTTCCTGGAAAGTGTTAAAGAATCTTCCTCTCCCCAAGTGCATGTGACTGGTGGCTTGTTGAGCAATTCGGCAAGGAGGATGACAGGGTTGCCATGACAACCAGTTCCATGCTGTGAGCAAAGATGGTGACAAATGACCAGCTTCTGGCTGGTTATCACTCCTCATTGACTAACGTTCCCCAAATTAGGCAGATGTGTCTGATTTATGATTATTTGACCTGTTGACTTGTATTTTTGCTGCATTTGTTGCTGAGATAGCATTCATGCTTCTTGCAGTGATGCTTAGGTGAGGCTGCTCGCTGGCCATCATTGGTGTGAATCATGTGAGTAGGTGAAGCTGTTGAAGTTGTTGCTGTAGTGCATAAAAAGTGACAAGTTATCTCTGGAGACTTCATTAAAACCAAACAATTTAAACTTGCACATTGAACCCACTGCAGGAAATAGATGGGGTAAAAATGTACATGACCTATGTTCTTTCTATTGTACTATTGAATAAAGAGTGCTCCTTGAATTTTGCTTGCCCTCAGTCATTAATAGAAAGTTTTCTTCTCCCTTCAGTGCCTGACTTGTTCATCAGTGTATGTATGGGGTGGGGGATATATGCTTCCCTTAGGATGAAATCCTGGATCTGCTGAAGTCATTGGCATCCCTTCAAAAAGACTAAGTTTCTTGTGGCCTTCTTTTCCTTTAGTTTTGCTTTTATTTAGATGCAGAAGACTGAAGTAAAACATTTTCGTTTCAAGATTTTGGTACTTCAGGAAAAAAAATCCAATACTTTCTCCCATCTCTTTCCTTTTATTAAAAACTTTTTATCCTCCTATCTTCCCACTTCCTTTTTGTGCTTCCCCTTGGTTGCCCAGAGGGACAGCATCTGTAATACACATGTGGTATGGTGGGCCAGCTCTTCATCATGCTTCAGCCCAGCTATGGAGACACATCAGATATGAAGTTAGTGATTTCCCACTGGTGGCCAAACACTAGGACAACATGTTGGATACTGTTGCTGGCCCATGCTCTGCAATTTTTGACATAGAAAGCTTTGATGCAGATCTCTTATTACAAACAAGGTGCTTTTCAGTTTGAATTCTTCATTTATATTGTGCATCCACTGCTGGAAAGTGAGCAATGGGAGGGCCAGAGATTCAGAAGTGACTTTACAGATTTATTATTGGCCAGATTATTTTTTTTTTTACATTTGGAAAACACTGAAAGTGTTCCTATTTGTACCAACATGCTTCCAGCCTGGACAATGAACACTCCTTTTCAGTTAGTTAATTTTTTTACTGTGGAAGTAAAACCTGGCAATCAGTCTCAATCAAATCCGGTGTTGGGATGGTGTCCCTTTTCTTCAGAGGATCTTAACAGAAGAAAAATTGTTTCAAAATCATCATAAGAATTGAGGTAGCTAAGCTAGAAATACAAAACTAAAAAGAGATATCTCATCGTTATCTCTGTACAGTGTGGGTATTTTATTACTTAACCTATTTAGATAGTGTAGATCAGGTGTTTGCCAGTATTGTTGAGCCTTGCAGACAAGCAGTCTCACTTGGGCATTCTGCTCCCACATAGTGAAATAAGCCCTCTTTAAGCTAGAAAGACTGACTGAAAATCTAGTGATTACACTAACTCCAGCAGAGCTGCATTTGCATTAGCCAGAGGCTGTGCACTCACGTCTGCTGCAGTGCTTCCAAGGAGACAAAATGAGATCCTTCTGTTGAAACAAATCTCTGGAAGAGCAAAGCATGTGTTCTTTGAATGATGCAATGATACCTCTCAGATTTCCCTGAATATATTTTCTGTCATCGTATGACTCTATCTTGCTGCTGTCTCCCAATTTTCAAAAAAATGTGGTTTTAGCACGTGAAATAATAATAATAGTTAAAATTTCCCTGTGGCATAGGAGCTATTACTGTACTGCACCTCTCAGGAACAGAACTTGCATCACTCTGATAACTCTGTACAACATTTTTACAGTCTCTCTTTTGAAGTCATGTATGCTGCCAAACTCAAGCCCTTTGAGGGCTGCATTTCCTCTTACTCAAGAGTACTCTTTTTGTCCATAAATTAGTGTCCTGGGTATGCTGATTAGTGGGATTTGTTTTCACCTGAAGAAGAGATGCCTGTGCAAAATACAGGCCTGTTTTTCCACGTAAAACTCCCAGTTCAATACAAAATTTATTGTGTTACACATGTTGCCTTATTTAAAAGTATTTTCTTCAGGAAGGAAGTTTGCTTGACCTTCAGTAAACCAAGTTCCCTCATGCACAAGAACCTGAATAGAGAGGCACTAACTCTCTGTCCCCACACCTTGCTTATCATCACCACCAAGTTCTCTTGGAAGTGGAGATAACACCTAGCTGCTGTGCAACAAAAATTACACATTTTGAAATGTCATGCCATTTAATGGGGTCTTCCAAATTCAGACAGAAATTATTTTATTACCTGTAATTCCACATTCAAACAGAGTAAAGCCACTGATGTCCTGATATCTTGTAACAGGTCTATGATGCCTCAAGCACATTTGTCTGTCTTGTTAGATTTTGTATGTTGATGTGTACTTTGTTGTCTTTCTTTGTGCTGGTAGCTCTAGTGGTGCTGCATTACCTTTGACCTGCACACCGGGTGCTCTCATCTGTTCGAACAGTCAGTGCACTAAGGAGGCTTTCCAGCTCATGCTAGTAGGAAACAGCCTGTGAAAAGGTTATCCCAAGTCTACCAGTCTGCAGCATGACCTGGGACACACATAGGTTTGGTTTGTTTGTTTTCAAGCAGGTTTGCGTAGCAAACATGAGGCTTGGTGTTTCAGGATGAGCAATGCCCTCTGGTGCTGTCCTGATCAGACATGTTTATCAGATGGTGTGAGGCCAGTCCCTTTGCCTGAGGAGCACCTGCACACAGACAGAAATCAGTCATTTGGTGTGGGAAATGCTGCTCTTTGGAAGTCCTGAGTTATGTTAATTGAAAATTAATCTAATTCCTGTTTTATTTCTCAACGTATGAAAACATATTTTCATACGTTCATATTTTCAAACAAATTTTGGTGTATTTATTTTTGCTAATGGATAAATTTTCGAAATATGTTAGTATTACTCAGCTAGGTGGTATTTTCTTATCCCAGATATTTTACATTATTTCCTTCCAACTGTTTGTTCAGATATGAGATAATTTCTTGTCTTGTAACTAATTGTTGCAGAAATGTTCTTTGTTTAAGTTGCTGGGTTAAAAATTTTATTTCTGCTGTGAGTTTTTCTGCTTTTACTTCAAAGTAATTGCTGTTTAGGTCTTTCTGGTACTGCATGTCATTGCAATAGTAAGTAACAGTATGTTGGTTCCTCTGCATCTTTGGTTGATTAGTTTGAAATTAACAGTTTAATGCAACCATAGCTTAACACTTTGCTGACTGTATGTTTGAGTAGCTGTGCATACATCCATATGTATGCATAGCAAGGACAGAAGCTGTGCCTAAACTTTAAACTTAAACAGGACTTGCAAATGTTGCACACATACTTCATTGTGATGTCTAGATATTTGATCACATTACTTCTTGCATGATGTGACCCAAATCGTGGAAAGTATTTTGCGTTTATTTGCCATTTATGTAGTTGAAAAGACTGCAGTTGATTTATTCAGTTGGGAAACAGAAGTGGGCAAGGTTGAAGATGAATAGGCTTTAAAACATATAACTCCTTGGAGTCAGGAACTATGTGCTTGAATGCTATAGGGACCACAACAGGAGACATTTAAAAGCAAACGTTTAGAATACTTGTGAACTTCTGGAACTGATTATGGAAATGTTGCTGATTTCGGATTTGGGCCATAGGTGAGGTTTTTTATTACATTTGAGTGTAATGGTATTGTCTAGCATTTCTTCTGCAGAACTTGCTTAGATTAGTCCTCAAATGATAAATTAGTAATTTAATAACTTTTTGTTTGCGCTATGGGGGAGAAATTGTCTGGTTTGTACCTTGGAGTGTAAGAGTTATTTCAAGTTATCATGACATCAAAGTTATTTGTGTGTCTGTGTGTATGTGTAAAAATTTGGGTAGCAGAAATGAGAGAGCCCGGAAAAAAGCAACCATAATAAAACACCTAGTAGAAGGCTTGAAGGATAGACTAAAAAGGAACTCTTAATTCCAAAAAGGGATTTAGAACAGCAGTCTAATAAGAGGTTATTTTTCTATTGTGTTACATTGAGCCTCCATAATTTGATCTGTTTTTCTGGTGTTTATTTGCACAGTATCTGTAAAACAGCAATACCAGGTGTGCAGACCCATGGAAGAACTGTTTGTGTCTTTGTGTGATTTTTTTTTCCTGTTCTCAGCAGATATATGGAGTGATCATTCATTTCAGACAGACCCAGACTTACCACCTGGTTGGAAAAAAATAAATGACATTGCTGGGATCTACTACTGGCACATACCAACAGGAACAACTCAATGGCAGCGTCCTGTGTCCATCCCAACAGATCTTCAGGGCTCACGAAAAGGATCACTTGGTTCCATTACTCCATCTCCTACTCCAGAAACTGAGGTAACTTGCTGTGTCTTCTTGTGGGCTACATACTGTAAGGAAAATTGAAATAACCTTTTGAACTTTCAGGTTTACCTGATAGCTAAGCTGGCCTGATAATGTCCCAAAGTGTAGCTACTTGTTGATAATACCTCGTAAGTATCTATTCTCTATATTCATTTTATAATGGTGGTGCCTGATGAAGCACCCTTTGGGTTTTTAGGATGCAATCAGACATGTCTCTGATAAATTACACAGGCAGTGCCTGATGAGTGTGAAACTTCAGCAGTTCTGAAGCATTGCTGCATTATATGGATACAGGATACATACAACTTTTGCACATGATAGAAGACTTGGCTGGACTCTTTGTTTGCATCTTCTTTTTGGCTCATTTGGTAGGAGTATCACAAAAGATATGAGTCTTCATTTGAGACACTAGTTCCTTTACAGGGTAGTTTCTGTTGAATAAACATGATGTGTTCTCAAGTGTTGAGTCTCTGTACAACCTGCCAGTACCAAATATCTATCAGTGTTGCAATCTGGCTTTAGCTAGAAGCAGAGAGATACTCTCTGTCCTCCACATGTGCTGAAAGAGCAGTACGTGGTACTGCCTTTTAAAATAGTGCTTTCAGGCACAATCCACAGGTTTGTTTGTCATGTAAGTAGAAAAATAAAATCAATTCTCATAAAGAAGTGTATGCTTCAAAAAATGCAATCACTTTGTTTTAGTGTGCTAGGAAGGCTTCTTCTGAGAAGACTTCCATTAATACATGGAATTAGTATTAAATACTAATATATGATAAGGTTGGTTTTAAATTATTTGTATACGGAATTTTCAGAAAAATATCCACAGCTCTGTCAAGGGTAGTCTTTGTACTGGCTCTGAGTTTTGGATCAGGCAATCCCTAGGGGTTTGGTTTTTTGGTTTTTAATTCATTTAGAGAGAACATTTTTTTATTTTGTTCATATATGCATCAAACTAACTTACATGAAAGTTAAGAGGAGTTAAGGACATTCAAGTACGTATTACGGTCTTGACACTAAAACTTTTATTCTGTATAGGCTTAAATACCTATGATCTTGTTTGTTATTTTAGAAAGGTTGCTCCCACGTGTTCATAAATGCTACTCATAAGGTCTGCAAACTTGACCACAACATTTCAGTTATGGTTTACATCTGTCAAGCTCTCATACTGTGCACCAAGCATGCTGGAAATAATTTCTGAGAGGATTCATGGAGAAAGAACTGTAACTGTTACAATTCTGGTAGAAAACAAGAAAAAAACCTCAGAAATGCTGAATGTAAAGGGCTGCACAAGCTTCTAGTATAAATTCCTGTAATGTACATGTGAAGAATATAACTTTATTATTATTATTTTTCTGACTCTAGAATGTAGAGAATGGGACCTTAATTAGTAAATTATAGATGGTTTTCACAAAACCCAGAAATCAGTATGGTTGGTAAACTGCAGAGGAAAGAAACCGTATTTCCATTTTAAATATTTTTCTATTTAAAGTGTCTTTACAATTAAAATTTCTGACCTGTTTGTAATGTATTACGTGTATTTTTAACCTTTCATAGTTGTTTCCTTTAAATGAAATATAGTTTGTGATTATGAATAATACTCATTAATTCTCAAGAACATCACAAGAGTACAAAATGTATGAATTATAATAACAAAGATTTTGATACAGTATAGGTGTATTAAGTAGGATATACACGTGTGTGAGTACATAGTAGGTTCACCTAAGTTTTGATATGGCATTTCTAATTCAGCAAGGAATTTGTTCCGGCAGAGACTTATGCATAGACAGTTCTATGGCAGCACCAAGATCATGTACTGTGCTGTAAAAGGTGATACAGAAATAAGCACATCCCCAAAATTCGTATTAGTATCATATCATGTAATTATTTCAATTGTAGATATAGGCAGTTGCTTTTTGTCAATTTCTGCATTCATTGATCAGCATCTTAGGGTTATTGAAGCAGTACTGGCTTTTTGACTCAGTGATCATTAAGATAGCATTCCAATACAGTACCAGCAGACTTAAAGTACTGGAGCTCAAAACAAGAGCATGAATTGGGCTCAGAATTTTGTCCACTTCCAAGTACTGAAACAGCTACAGAGGCTTCAGGCATAGCTGGAGTTACAGTGGGAACTGTTAGAAGTCTTGCATTTCTTGAAACCACAGATGCCAAACTTTATTAAAAGGAACTGGAGGAAGAATCCTTTGTGATTCAGCTGGTCCTGAACAGAACCCCAGTGCAGAGCAGTAAGAGAGAAATAGGTCATAGTGTGTGTTTAAGAGATAGGAGTAATGAAATAATTTGACAGTGTCAGCTATTATGAATTTTTGGTTTTTTAGTCTCTCTGCAGTTGGTGCATGCCAGCAGTGTATCATCTCCACATCACTGGCAGGAAATCTTTGTTTCAATTCCTGTTCACTGCACTGCTGCATATCCAAGTGCTCCTCCTTTCCCTCACTGGGAAAGAGTATTACAGGTGTCTGCGACAAGGTCAACCTGACACTTCACAGAAGATTGGGAAATCAGTCTAGACTAGGGGCTCCCAAATGCTTTATCCCAGCACTACCACTGACAGCATCACTTGTGGTGGAGAGCTTCCCCCTCCAAGCTGGACCCATGTGTGAGCTGTGGGCTGCTGGTTCCCTCATTGCTGCTGGAAGCCTGTGCTTCAAGAGAATGTGTTTTGAGAGGGCTGGTTTAGCTCATTCCCCCATGCTGGATTTGTATTGCTTCATTCTGAAAAGGCTGGGAGATAGGTTTTAGGCAGATAAAAGAGTATAATCTAGGATTGAAGACTGGCATGGGTAGTATTTGATATCTGAACCAATTGGCTTCTGTGAGTCCATAAAAATACTTTTATTTAAGTCACATTTGTCTGTAAAGCATCATGTGCCAGTCTTGGAATGAGTTTTTTTTTGGCTCTTTCAGGTTATGAGTTTGTCAAAGAAACATTTAGGAACACTGTTTTTCCCACCCCCCCCGAGTAACACCTTTTTACCCTTTGTCTTGTTTCCTCCTTTTTTTCCCTTCATTTTATTTTGTGTGCCTGTCTCTTAAATAATGTAATATACAGAAGCTTTGCTTTGTTTGGTAGAATGTGGCTCACAGCTGAGGGCAGTCAACAAAGAACAGATCAATTCAGCCATTTTTATGTTGTAGCTTACTCTGGATATTTAGCATAAAGAAAAACAGTTATTACTGTTGAACAGAGAATTTTTTAAAAACAGCAGGGAAGAATGATGCTGTCATGCATAGAAATGGAAAAATGTTTTAAAAGGAGAATAATGCGAAAATGTCTTACTTTTACATGAAGGCAAGGCAATTTTTCTTTCACAAGATAATCAGAAAATTTCAATCCAAAGCAATTATGGGTTAAGCATTATGCAAAAATCCTGCTGATTTAACAAAAATGCTAGTAAATGCTAAATATGAATAACCTGTAACATTCCTTCCCTTCCTTCCTCTCAAAAGCATGAAAATGTATTTTGGTTTTGCACAGCTGTTTAAATTTGACTTCGTTTTAGATCCCTCTTTTCTCTTGTGTGTTGTCAAATTACTTCCATTTTGAATCCTTGTCTTTTGTAACATTCTTTTCCAAATTTTAGAAATTTTGCTGTCTCCCATTTCTTGTGCAGAGAAAAAGCTGTAGTGCTTAAGTTTCAATAAGAGCTTCTTTGAGATCATAGGAGAATTTGGTGATGGCAATTGTGTCTTCTTATAGCCTAATTCATCCCAGGTCTTGAACAGCTCTGGAGGATCTTCTGTAGGTAACATAACCACTAGCAGCTAGTAATTAAAGAGAAGGGGCTTGGGAGGAAAAGGTAACAACTCAATTAATTCAATTAATTCAAAGGCACATTAGGAAAGGGTTACTCCTGGGAGCTGTTTCCAACAAAATATTTCCTCCAGCGAGGATATAGTGAGAATGCTTCTGAGGTGAGAAGTCCACCCTGCAGATGAATACTTTGGGCCATATTAGTGGGTACCACTTCACCTTGGGGCTGAGCTGGACAGCCCAGCAGAGCTCATCTTAGAAGGGGAGTTCATTTCAGGATTTCTTGGTTTGGTAAAGCTATAAAGGTGGCTCTGGGTCTCCCAGCAACCAAATCTCCTGGCTTTTGTTGAGGACTGTGGGAATTCTCTCCAGATGAAACAGAGAGAGACATTACAGCATCAGCTGTTCCTCTCAAGCTTTACAGAAAAGCCTGAACCTCGGGTTGTTTAGTGCTAGACACACAGCTACTTGCTTGATTGTACCACTGAGCACCTCTGAAAATTTTGAGAAACTTGAATGGAAAATGAGAGGGTGGGTGCTTTGTTTGGTTTGGGGTTGTTTTTTAAAACAAGCTGATAGACTTTTCAAAACTACTTTTTCAGCAAGAAATCTCTGCATTCCTTACTAAACCTTCTTCCCTTCTTGCCCTTTTCTTGTGTTTTCTCTCTAGAAATATTTGATCTTTACCTTGTATGTATCTTACCCTTGTATATATTTTTTTGTGTTTCAGTATTTCTAGTTCCACTACCATTAAGGTCTTTTAACAAAAGTACCAGTCAAATGGAAATTCTAATGTTTCCCCTTAATTGCTGTTGATTAAAGGCTGTAGCAGCTGTGGCCAACATTCATATTCAGATTCATTTTGCTTGCTTTTAAGATCATAGTTAAAGAGTAATTTCATTGTCTGTTCCTAATTTATATTAACTTTCCTTGTTTCAATCATTTGTTTTGGTAAGTAACTGTTAGAGGCATGTCTTCTCTCCCCTTCCCTCCAAATGCCATGCTATAATGGAGTAAGTAGTTAAAGTTTGAGGTGATCTGTTCCCTAACCCATCCTGTAAATATCAATGCTAACCAAGAGTGTCTTGTGTTTTTTTTCTTTTTTTTCTTTTTATTTTTTTTCTTTATCTTTTTATTTTTCTTTTTTTTTTATCAATGTGCTTCTTCCTGTGTGAATAATTATGTGTCTAGAAACAGCCATGGAGTGATTTTGCTGTACTGAATGGGGGAAAGATTAATAGTGACATTTGGAAGGCAAGTATATTGTCAGATTTTAGAACCTTTACTACTGTTACCCTTGTTTTTTGCATGGCAGTGGCTGTTTTCCCCTTTTATTTTTCCATGAATGTCATTCATAACCTAGGCCAAAGTGAATGGGGGTACTGCTAGGGATGTCTAGCTCACAAACATGCTGCCTTTTCTGATCTTTCCACTTGGAATGGATTCAGTCTAAACTAGCAGAGCAACTGCTGTGATGTAACAAATAAGATGCCTGCACTGAATGAAATGCAGCTTGAGAAATATATATATATATATCTATATATGCATGCCTCTTTTCAACTTCAGCCAGAAATACTATCGCTTCTTTGCAGGGAGGATTTAATTTCCCTTTGAGATAAGAAATGACATGATGGTGTACTTAATACTATTATAATAGTATTAAAACTATACTAATAGCATTGCCTCTATCTCCAGGACCTGCATGCAGCCACTGTGAACCCAGACCCAAGTCTGAAGGAGTTTGAAGGAGCAACATTACGCTATGCCTCTTTGAAGCTCAGGTACAATTACTTCAGAAGTCTCAGTGGAATGACCAGCTCTGTTTTGTGTTGTGCTGTAATTTTCATATGATTTTAAGACTGATTTTGTTTTGTTTTGGTTTTTTTTATGTCACAGAAATGGTCCACAATCTGATGATGATGATTCTTGTAGCATCAACAGTGATCCAGAAGCCAAGGTCTGTATGAAGATCCACAGTAGTATAACAATTAAAAATCTAGCAGTTGTAAGCATGAACTTCCAAGGTGCAGACTGTCTCCTAAGTTTTGACATTAAGTGTACCCCTCCTCTTGGCACAATGTGGATTGACCATGCAAGACTAATTCCATCAAAGGAGTTTGAAGATCTAAAGCTTAATTCAGTTGGGTCTGGAAAGTGTGACTTATTTTGAAATCATGTAAGCCGGGAAATTGGATTTTAGAGCTCAAGATTCCACTGTCCAACTGTAATAACTGTCCTCTTGCACAACTAAGTGATTGTCTGTCTGAGAGAGGGCTCTGGTTTTTATTATCTATAGATATTATCTATAGATAGATATTAGATATTATATAGATATTATCTATAGATAGTTTCCAGGGGCATTCAGTGACAGAATTTGCTCTTTATTTTCAAGTTTGTCCCTTTTTAAAGTATTCTTCCTTTTTTTTGTGTCTGCTTCAACTTACAGCTACTAACAAGGAAGTTACCTTTTAGAACAAGAAACTTCATTTTTTGGAAGAGAGACTGCAGCCTACTTTGAGAATGCACTTCATAGAGAAAAATGAGACCATTATGTGACAAAGCACCATAATTAGAGCTTTTACTGTTAGAATCTAAAGGTTTAGAGAAGAAAGAAGCAGCAGAAAGTTTTGTATGCTTGCATATCTATCTCCAGATTTGTCTTGTTGATAGTTTTGCCTTTTGCTTGCATCCATTATTAAGGGTGTATATGAATCTCTATAATTGAAAGTACAAGTAATTTAAATAAGTATTTTGGCTGTGCCATACAGCTGCAGCAACTGACAGCATCTGAAGCTACTTATTTGCAGGAACAAATATGTATGTAACAGAGTTGGTAATTTTAATAGCATTAATGATACATTTTAAGAGAGAAAACAGACTGATCATGGCACTTAATTTTCTTTGTCATCTTGATCATTTGGCTTGTGATATTTACTTCAGATATAAATAGTTGTGTTTGTTTGGCTTCCTGATAGCTTAAAAGCAAGAGTTTCAGCTATGCCCTTTACAATGACAAGCACTAAATTCTAAGCACAGTAAATGGAGTTGAAGGAGTGAGGCGCTTTAGGTTCCAGTCCTGAGAACAATAGAGTTGTTCCTTTCATGATGAGCCTTATGGTATGGAAAGCTTTAAAGGGAGGGAGTATTTTGATATGTCTATGACTTTACCAGGTAATTTTTTGAGCTGTTCCTGCATGGAGGACCATGGCAGTAGTTTTGTGGACAAATAACTTGTGCCATCACCTCCCTTCCCTCTCTCACTTGCTGTTTAAACTTCAGTATTTATGGATCAGGTACATCTCTGGTGTCTGTGAAATGGGACAGTGTCAAAAGCTTGTCCTCTTTTGTCTGTCACAACTGGTTTTGTTTTACCAGTTCAGGCAAAACTATGCTGATAATGCTTATAAGGGTAATGAAAAATGGGCACTGAAACAGTCACAGAAGTGATTGAGAGGAGCAAGACAAGAAAGAGAGGAGAAACTAGACGTGTTTTTGCCTTCTTAAAAATCTCTTGAGTCAAAGCACCTTGCCTGATTTCTGCCCAATGCTGATGCTGTGCAGGGGCAGCAGTGACCACAGCAGATACTGTGTGGTCCTCATGTGAAGCTCAGCAGTGCTGACACTGATTTGCAGCAGGAGTGGCTGAGGGCAGAGCTGTCCCAAGGACAGGGCAAGTATGGCCATATGTCACAGGAATTGCAGGTGGTCCAGAAACAGCAGGGACAATCTCCACCTGTGGAAAATGCTCTGGGATCTTTATTTCTCACATGGATGGGAAGGGGATGGGGTAGGTAGATTCCTTGCTAGTCCATTTTACCCCAAATATGGAGAGACTGAAAGAAGTCTGATAGGATTTGAAACTGATGACTTGAAAAAAATCAGATATTTTTAGTCTTTTAGGCTCTCCCCTGCTGTATTATCTGCCTTACCTATCTTTTATTGAAGCTTTTGTGGGGCAGCAAGCACAGATAAATCCTTTTTCTTCATTTCATCATAAGAGAAGAAAGTTTTTTTTAGCCCATTAAACTGTCTATTGGAAGAATTTGTTAAAATGAACTTTGTTAGAGGTATGTTGGAGATCTTAAACCTATTTAAACCTAATCATGACATTGGCCAGTACATTTGTGGAAAAAACCAGTGTCTCTGTGGCACATTTAATGCTGTATTTCAGCAAAGGGAACTGTGCCACCTTGTGGGAAGCTTTAGTAGTTGTCTTCCCGCAGAGAGTCAGCTTCTGCAAAGATTGAAGCACTGCAAAAATGCCTGCTTTGGGAAAAGCTTGTCATATAATTCATGTAATTGTTGTAAAAAAAGTGATTTATGCAGCAACACATTGAAGTGTTCATAATTGTCAGTAAAGAACAAATGTTTCTATATGTATCACATGCTTAAGGTGCAGTTCACAGTTTCATGTCCATGGCATCTCAGTCAGGTTGTCTGCAGAAGGTCGTAAAGGTGAAGTGGAAAGAGGAGAATTATTACATCCAGCTTCTTGGTATCATCAATTTATTTTGGTAGAAATTTCTTGAAGAGATGGCTTATTGTGCTTGATGGGGATCCTAATTCTGCATGTGAAACATGCACAGCTAGAAATGAGTTTTGAATTGGTGCTTCCCAGGAGACAGATCATAACCTTCCTGGTTAATTTATAGAGCAATGTGTGCCTTCCTAATTGAGTTTCAAGGAAGGCAAAAGATGCTTTTAACAATCCCAGACTGTAAATTCTTCTGGGCTGTCTTTTTTCCATTGTTATAAATGTATATATGTATAAATATATATATATATAAATGTATATATGATGTCCCTATGTAAAAACATAGGAAGGTGCTAAATTTTTTCTGATGTCCGTACATAGAAACAGAACCTCCTGGGAAACCTGTTACTGTCCCTAGGAATGGCATCGATTTTAAAATTCCCTATCCACATTGGTCTGCTCAGCAAAGCTTCACTTTTCCTGCCTCACAATTTTAGACGAGTTTTAGCTATATAGTTTCTAAGAATGGGAAGAATGTATTTAAACCTGTGGAAGTCCTAGGCATTTATTCCAAAAGACTGTTTTCTACTTTAGAAACCAATAAATGCTTTGGATGTCAAAGGAAGAGAATGAGGCTATTTCTAAGAGAGAGATTATCAGGAGATGTTGATAACAAGTATTTAAATTTAGTGATTCACCTGTAGATGAATGAAAACACACTTGGAGACATGGAAAGTGAGTTGGTGATGAATTTCTGTGGATTACCTGGCCTTTAGGGTTTAACCAGATGCCCTTTGGCAAGCTGACTTGTGGCTGTTCTGAAAGTGGCCTGTAAATCAAAATAATCTAAGCACTATCAAAATAATGTTACAAAATACTATGTGCTCCCCAAAGATTTAATATCCATCTCTTGACTGCTTTTCTTACTATGGAAGCAGGTGTATGTGTTTTGGAAGCATTGTATATTTGCTTCTTTCTGGTCTTTTCCAGAAGAAAACACCCTGCCTACACACAGGATCATGTGAAAATAATCAGTGTGTATCCTTGGGGATGGATATGAATCTGATTTCTGATCCAAGTGAAGACTTAACCTGAGAGGAGCTTTTGCCATGTCCAGCAATCCCCAGAAAGGATTCTTTTCTTGCACTCAGAGCAGCTTCTAAATTCTTGGTTCAAACAGGGATTATTCAGCATTTTCCAGCAGTCCACCTCAGGCTGGATTACAGTCTTCTCATGAGCTTACAAAATGCTGCAAAAAAAACCTCAGTTAAATTAATTTTAATTAATTGAATTCGAGGAGTTTATTCCATCTTAAGTCTCTTTTCAAAAGTAGATGAAAGCTAAAAGAGAAATATGGTATCTTCAACAGTTTTTCTTCTGAAGGTGGTATTTTTGCTTGGTTTTTGGGTTAGGAAATTGTTTCTTTCAAAACAATCTTTTGTTTTCATTCCCTAGGAAATAGCACTGGAAGAAATCTTTACCTATTGCTTTGCCCTTATAAGGGAATCACAGTGTATAAACCCATGTATTAATTTCAAGTTTCTTCTTAAGTGTTTTTTGTGGGGCTTTTTTCTGCTTTGACTAGTCTTCCTGACAAGCTGATTCAAGTGTAATCTGCCATTCCACCTTTGCAGCTCCTGGGTAGCAGTGGTGACTGGTGGGGGTGGCTGTTTCTAAACTGGTTTGTTTCTGAATTTGGCTGTTTGCCTTTAGCAGCATTAAGGCACCCTCACATCCATAGAGCTGCTGCAGGTAAACGATGCAGGTGCTTGAAAATGTTCTGCTTCAAAAGCAGTTTTAGAAATAGCCAACTAAAGCCCTAAACTACATATCCTCAATGATTTATTTTTTTAAATAGTCTTTTTCATGTCATGCATTAGACCTTTCAGAGAATGTGTTTGCTTGTTTTTTATCTCTGTGAATGATAGTTATTACTGTTGACATCTGTTGTGTCATTAGGTAAAAATTCCTAATGTCATGATGTGATGTACATCATAACACAGATTTCTGTCTAGAGGATATTTGCTTCCACCTTGTTCCTAAATGGAGTCTTGTTTAATCAAATATGAAGATGAGTTCAGGGCAAGGAAGATGCAGCATTTTCCCAAATCTCATGGATTTACTTTACAAGGGCATACAGAGTTACAGTGGTTTTTTGTTATACTATATGTAAAATACAAATATCTGGGATAATTTAGCCAAGTTTCTCAAGCTATTCAAGATTATAGTGAGATCCTGCAAAATATTACATGTCTTTCACTCCTAGGAATCCCATATAGTCTGGGATCTAATTAACTGTGAACCTAACATGCACAATCAGGACATGAGTGCCCAACCAGTAGGAGGGATGTAGAGGAGACATTTTACTTGTAGTCTTCCTTAGAAAAACACATCACAAAGCCATTCCTCATGTGAAAGAGAATGGAAACTGCTTGAATATTTACCATTATATTCCAGGTTCATAATACAAGAATTACATCTCG